CACATCACACGCATGTATCTATTCAGGTGACAACTGGACTTACATGTCTTCTCTCCCACTTAGGTTTTTAGTATTTAAGGTATAATGCTTTATATATAAGATACCAATATAATTGAAATGTTACATGCGTTAAAAACATGTAATCCCCCTTCATATAAAATTAGGGGCTGGGCATGGTAGCTCACACCTGTAATTCCAGCACTTTGAGAGGCTGAGGTGGGAGGACTGCTTGAGGCCAGGAGTTTGAGACCAGTCTGGGCATCATTGTGAGAACATGTCGCTATTTTTTGTAAAAAGGAAAATAAATTAAGGAAGGGGCATTAAGAGGAGAATTATCAACCTTTAGTGTAATAATATTTCATAATAGTAATCATAATTGAGCAAGGGCCTCCCGAGGACCCCTAACCTTCCAGAATGCCTCAGAAGCAACCTAGAACAAGAGCAGCCCTGAGCTGTAAATGATGGTTGTACATCCCTGCTTGACGTCTGACCTGCTGCCTGGTTCTCCCAGATCATGGACAAGAGAGTTATTCTTACTATATCGATTTGGTGTAACTATTGTTTTAGGCTCAAGATTAAATTAATTTTCTGGCAGCCATTCTAAAAGAGGCACATGTACTCTTTGCCTGTGATCCCTGGTTCATTGTGAATCAGAAAACAGAGCTGAAGCAGGACTGCCCATATAGGCTTGTTCCGTTAGAGTCAGACTGACTGGAAAAAGACAACTAACCTATCTCCTGGGAGGATGGTTAGTTCTGACCACACTTCATGCACTATTGGCATGGAGGAGGCAGAACCTTCAACTGCATTGTTATGAGGCTATCTATGAGCTTAGAAGAGCTAGTGTCTGCTTTTTGTCCGACTCCTTTTGTTCAGATTGACACCAGTCCCTGGTACTTTTCCAGAGAACTCTTTGATCCTTGTTTACAACTCTCTTTCGGTGGATTTGTGTCCTCAGTTCTTCCCTTATCTCTAGATCCATGCATTTCTCTCTTATTTTTTGCCTCCCATAGTATGTCAGCTAACCCCGAATAAGATTATTTGGAAGAAATGGTTGTGGTACATCCATACAAGGAAGGAACTCTTGATACATGCAGCAACTTGGATGATTTTGATGAGTGAAAAAAGACAGTATCAAAGGGTCACATACTTTGTGATTCCATTTCTATAACATTATTATTATTATTTGAGACAGAGTGGCTTCGTTACCCACCCAAGCTGGAGTGTAGTGGCACAATCTCAGCTCACGCAGCATCTACCTCTCCCAGGTTCAAGTGATTCTTATGCCTCAGCCTCCCAAGTAGTTGGGACTACAAGGTGTGTATCACCATGCCTGGCTAAATTTTTTTTTTTTTTTTTGTATTTTTAGTAGCAACAGGGCTTTGCCATGTTGACCAGGCTGGTCTTAAACTCCTGGCCTCAAGTGATCTGCCTGCCTTGGCCTCCCAAAGTGCTGGGATTACAGGCATGAGCCACTGTGCCTGTCTTTTATAACATTCTTAAAATGACATAATTATAATAAAGGAGAAAAAGTTGTGATTGCTGGGGGAAGCATGCCCATAAAGGGGAAGCACAAGGAGATCTCTGTGGTGATGGAAGAATTCTATATTTTGAATGTAGTGCTGGTTACATGAATCTACACATATGATAAAATGACACAGAAGTATACATATACTTTATAGCAATGTCGGTCTGTTCTTGATATTGTGCTGTAGTCATGTAAGATGAGAGAAACTGGGTGAAGGGTACGCAGAATTTTTCTGTACCATCTTGGCAACTTCTTGTAATTTTTTTTTTTTTTTTTTGAAACGGAGTCTTGTTTTGTCACCCAGGCTGGAGTGCAGTGGCGTGATCTTGGCTCACTGCAACCTCTGCCTCCTGGGTTCAAGCGATTCTCCTACCTCAGCCTCCCAAATAACTGGGACTACAGGTGTGCACCCTCATGCCCAGCTAATTTATATATACATATTTTTTAGTACAGATGAGGTTTCACCATGTTGGCCAGGCTGGTCTTAAACTCCTGACCTCAGGTGATCCACCTCCCTCAGTCTCCCAAAGCTTCTTGTAAATTTCTAATTATTTCAAGTAAAATGTTTGCTTTTCTTATTTAAAAAGAAAAATGAACTATTATTAAACAATACATGCAATAATGTGGATGAATCCCAAAATATGCTGAATCAAATAAACCAGTCAAAGAAGAGTAAAAAAGAAAAAAATATAAATACAATGAGCTACATCAAAGCTAAAAACTTTTGTGCTGTAAATAATACCACAAAAAAGTGAAAAGACAACCCATGTGATGTGAGAAAGTATTTGCAAATCGTTTATCTAAGAAGGGATTTGTATCCAGATTATATAAAAGATTCTTACAACTCAACAATTTAAAAAACCAATTGAAAAATGGGCAAAGATTTGGTTTCTCCAAAGAAGATATATAAATGACCAATAAGCACATGAAAAGAAGCTTAACATCATTGGCTGTTATGGAAATGCAAATGAAAACCACAATGAGATGGCAAGTCATACTCATTAGAAAGAAAAAGACACAATAACAAATGTTAATGGAGGATATTGAGACACTGGAACTCTTATATACTGCTGGCAGGAATGTAAAGTGGTGCAGTTACTTTCGGAATCAATTCTGCAATTTCTCCAACATGTGAAACATAGTAACCATATGACCCAGCAATTTCACTCCTAGGTATAGAAACAAAAGAATTGAAAATATGTTCACATAAAAACTTGCACA